GATGGTGTGTGTGTGTGTGTGTGTGTGTGTGTGTGTGTGTGTGTGTGTGTGTGTGTGTGTGTGTGTGTGTGTGTGTGTGTGTGTGTGTGTGTGTGTGTGTGTGTGTGTGTGTGTGTGTGTTGTGTGTGTGTGTGTGTGTGTGTGTGTGTGTGTGTGTGTGTGTGAGAGAGAGCGTGCACAATCGCCTGTTCTCCTTCAGCCTTTCCTTGTAACTCAATCCCCTTAGTCCCCATGAGCGGGACCTGTCAGTATACCCATCAGTTCGGGCAGCCAGAAGCTCAAGGCTGGCGTTGATATATCCACAGTCTTTCCCCCAGAAAGAAAGGTCTGTTTGGTATATCATAAACGTATGCCAGAGGTGTACATTGTCTCCCACAACCTCTCCTCCTAGAAATAACGTTGCTATTCGCTCGTATGCGTTACATACGGCCAAAAATTGTCGTATCAGAAAATATTACGACTGTTTCATTTATTTACGTTTACGAATTCATTTCCCGTTTTCTGTGTTGGGTCCTCTGGTTGGTTAGGAGAGACTACTTTAAATTGACCGTTGGGGGACCTTTAGGAGGATGAGCTGGGGTCCCACAGTGGTTTTGAGCTGGGGTCCCACAGTGGTTTTGAGCTGGGGTCCCACAGTGGTTTTGGCTTGAGTAGAAGCGTATACTGATCTAGGTCTCCGTGCATGTACTGTTTCGTAGTCAACGTGGAGGTAGGAACGGTCTCGTTCGTAGACTGATTCGTACGTTCACAATCAACACAAAGCTATTTCAGTGGCCTCTGTAGAATACGCACCTGGGGTGATTCGTTACATATAATTGTATTTATTTTTATATTCAAAAGTTCTTACATTGTTGAACAGCGGCCAGCCAGCATAGTGTTTTGGGCAGGTCCTTAATCCTGATGTTTACGGGAACACGACCCGCCAAATCGTTTAACAACCAGGTGCTCATTTACTGCTGGGTGAACAGAGGCTACAGTTAAGGACTGGTGCCCAGTCAATCCTCCCCGGCCAGGATACGAACCCAGAACACAAGGTGCTCGCGGAACGCCAGGCGAGTGTCTTACCACTGCACCACGGAGACTGTGGTGTAAATTGGTCAATTAACGAGTGATTTGATAAGATTCGTGTACATTTAACGATGTCTGTAACAATTCTTCATTTACAAAATTTAGCAAATTGAATGTTTAGTGGAAATGTGGATGCGTATTTAAAATAATTATTGTCTTTTCAAATTTTGCATAAAAATAACTAATTCTAAAGAATTTTATTTTATTTCTTGAAAATTTCAGATGTCCCAAAGTTTATCATTCTGTAACATTATTTTATCAAACTAAGCATATATAACAATTAATATATATAAAATTAATAAAACTAAATTTCAGTTTAAAAAACTTAATTCATGTATTTCGATTTGTTTATTATTGTTTACATATGATTGTGGTCAATACCACTTATGCCGTAATGCGGACCCTTAGCCTTGGAGAAGAAAATGTAATGCATTCACAGAAGTTCTTGTAGATTCAGAGAAAACGAGAGAGATATATCAATAGTCAAACAATCACCATTGTTTACGACAGCCCTTCTCATATCTCCCGATCACAAACCATGTCTGCCCCAAACCGTTTAAAACAGATAATTAATATAATTAAAACCATTCTAAAAGATACAGGTAATTTGATAAATAATATGTAATTGCATTTCTGGAGATTAAAACAAGCTTTATTTGACCGTTCGTCTAGAAAAGCAAAACTTGATCATGTTTACTCAAAAATAAAAATAAACTTGTATAAGGAATACTTACAATAAGTTTCTTCACACAGTTTCTGGATAGTTTCCTGTTTGAGTTTGGAGTTCTTCTTTCCCATGTTTGCAGGTGGTTGGTGACGTCTGGGCGAGGAAGGGAGAGGAGATGAAAGAGGAGGAGAAGGGAGGAATTAGCACAGACTCACACCACTACTGAGGTGGTTGGGGCATGATTCATCCAGATCATGGTATTCAATAACGGATGCTTCACCCCTTTTGTTTATATAATATCTCTGCGTCTCTTGTCTGCTACCGCTTCTCTCTGCTGACGCAGACTAGCTGACCAGAGTGGCTTTGGACGCCAGAAAGTCTTCTGTCCCGCGAACTCTTAAAATATCACCTTTGAGACGCGTCGTGGGACCAAATTTGACCAAAAAAGCCTATTCCCCTAAAAAAAAATGAGTTTCCTGTAACACACCGTTTGTTCCTCTCTTTAAATCAAAAACAAATTATGTATCCTTAATTCCTTTCTTAAGATTGCCAGAAAATTTGTCTTTTGAGTGTTTGGTGAAACATTTCCGTGTCTTGGGAGTCCTTAAGCCACAGAAGGAAAGTTGAAAGAACGTAAGCTGCTCTAATTGGATAGATTTACCGCGGCCTGCGGATTGTCCCACCCGGCAGGGGGTGGATAGGTTGTTACGGCGCCCACTGTCCAGTCTAGCCCACGGAGGGTGAACGAGATGCGATCTGGATGGTGGCGTGGTGGCAACTGGAAGCGCTCGGGCGCCCTTACATCTTCCAGTCCCGCCCCGAGCCACCATCCCCCCATCCAGACAACGTCCCCTATCCACCACCCACCCAGGCCATCACTGGCGCGGGAAGGTCCCCTCCTATCCTCCCTCTTCCATCTTCTTCAATGGTGCCCCCTTTCATTCATGAACGGGGCACCGGCGCGCACTTCGGGGCATACATGCCCCCGTGGGTACCCATGTTTAGGGGCCCTCGGGGGCCCGCAGGGACCCATGGGGGCCCCTGCGCACAACGGGAGACATTTTGGGGGAAGCCTCGCTCAGGGAGCTCTAGGTGATGTTTGGCAACTGTTCCGGCGCGGATTGCCGCACTCAGCTGGTGTGTTCAATACCTCTGTCTGTCTGTCTCTCTGTCTCCCTCCCTGTCTGTCTGTCTCTCTCCCTACCTCTCTGTCTCACTCCTTCCCTCTCTCCCTGCCTGTCTCTCTGTCTCCCTCCTGTTGTGGATTTATGTTGTGACACTGTTGGTCCATGTGTGACAGTGTTGGACCATGTGTGACAGTGTTGGTCCATGTTGTGACAGTGTTGAATCATGTGTGACAGTATTGGACCATGTTGTGACAGTGTTGGACCATGTGTGACAGTGTTGGTCCATGTGTGACAGTGTTGGATCATGTTGTGACAGTGTTGGACCATGTGTTACATTGTTGGTCTATGTTGTGACAGTGTTGGATCATGTCTGACAGTGTTGGACCATGTTGTGACAGTGTTGGACCATGAGTGACAGTGTTGGTCCATGTGTGACAGTGTTGGACCATGTTGTGACAGTGTTGGTCCACGTGTAACAGTGTTGGTCCATGTGTGACAGTGTTGGATCATGTTGTGACAGTGTTGGTCCATGTGTGACAGTGTTGAACCATGTGTGACAGTGTTGGTCCATGTTGTGACAGTGTTGGTCTATGTGTGACAGTGTTGGACCATGTGTGACAGTGTTGGATCATGTGTGACAGTGTTGGTCCATGTGTGACAGTGTTGGACCATGTGTGACAGTGTTGGTCCATGTTGTGACAGTGTTGGTCTATGTGTGACAGTGTTGGACCATGTGTGACAGTGTTGGTCCATGTTGTGACAGTGTTGGTACATATTGTGACAGTGTTGGTCCATGTTGTGACAGTGTTGGTCCATGTTGTGACAGTGTTCGTCCATGTGTGACAGTATTGGATCATGTGTGACAGTGTTGGTCCATGTTGTGACAGTGTTGGTCCATGTTGTGACAGTGTTGGTCCATGTGTGACAGTATTGGATCATGTGTGACAGTGTTGGTCCATGTTGTGACAGTGTTGGTCCATGTGTGACAGTGTTGGACCATGTATGACTGTGTTGGTCCATGTGTGACAGTGTTGGACCATGTGTGATAGAGTTGGTCAATGTGTGACAGTGTTGGACCATGTGTGACAGTGTTGGACCATGTGTGACAGTGTTGGACCATGTGTGACGGTGTTGGTCCATGTGTGACAGTGTTGGACCATGTTGTGACAGTGTTGGTCCCATGTTATGACAGTACTAGACCAAATGTGGCAGTGTTGGTAAATGTGTGACAGTGTTGGACCATGTGTGACAGTGTTGGGCCATTTTGTGACAGTGTTGGACGATGTGTGACGGTGTTGGTCCATGTGTGACAGTGTTGGACCATGTGTGACAGTGTTCGACCATGTTGTGGCAGTTTTGGACCATGAGTGACAGTGTTGGTACATGTTGTGACAGTTGTGGTCCATGTTGTGACAGTGTTGGACCATGTGTGACGGTCTTGGTCTATGTGTGACAGTGTTGGTCTATGTGTGACAGTGTTGGACCATGTTGTGACAGTGTTGGACCATTTTGTAACAGTGTTGGACCATGTGTGACGGTGTTGGTCCATGTGTGACAGTGTTGGACCATGTGTGACAGTATTGGACCATGTTGTGACAGTGTTGGACCATGAGTGACATTGTTGGTACATGTTGTGACAGTTGTGGTCCATGTTGTGACAGTGTTGGACCATGTGTGACAGTGTTGGTCCATGTGTGACAGTGTTGGTCCATGTGTGACAGTGTTCGACCATGTGTAGCAGTGTTGGTCCACGTTGTCACAGTGTTGGACCATGTGTGACAGTGTTGGTCCATGTGTGACAGTGTTGGACCATGTGTGACAGCGTTGGTCCGTGTCGTGACAGTGTTGGACCATGTGTGACAGTGTTGGACCATGTGTGACAGTGTTGGTCCATGTTGTGACAGTGTTGGACCATGTTGTGACAGTGTTGGTAAATGTGTGAAAGTGTTGGTCCATGTTGTGACAGTTGTGGTCCACGTTGTGACAGTGTTGGACCATGTTGTGACAGTGTTGGACCATGTTGTGACAGTGTTGGTCCATGTTGTGACAGTGTTGGACCATGTTATGACAGTGTTGGTCCCATGTTATGACAATGTTGGACTATGTGTGACAGTGTTGGTCTATGTTGTGACAGTGTTGGACCATGTGTGACAGTGTTGGACCATGTGTGACAGTGTTGGACCATGTGTGACAGTGTTGGACCATGTGTGACAGTGTTGGACCTTGTGTGACAGTGTTGGTCCATGTTGTGACAGTGTTGGACCATGTGTGACAGTGTTGAACCATGTGTGACAGTGTTGGTCCATGTGTGACAGTGTTGGAATATGTGTGACAGTGTTGGACCATGTGTGACAATGTTGGTCCATGTGTGACAGTGTTGGTCCATGTGTGACAGTGTTGGTCCATGTGTGACAGTGTTGGCCCATGTGTGAGAGTGTTGGTCAATGTGTGACAGTGTTGGACCATGTGTGACAGCGTTGGTCCATGTTGTGGCTGTGTTGGACCATGTGTGACTGTGTTGGTCCATGTTGTGACAGGGTTGGACCATGTGTGACAGTGTTGGACCATGTGTGACAGTGTTGGACCTTGTGTGACAGTGTTGTTCCATGTTGTGACAGTGTTGGACCATGTGTGACAGTGTTGGTCCATGTGTAACAGTGTTGGTCCATGTGTGACAGTGTTGGACCATGTGTGACAGTGTTGGTCCATGTGTGACAGTGTTGGACCATGTGTGATGGTGATGGTCCATGTATGAGTGTTGGTCCATGTGTGACAGTGTTGGTCCATGTTGTCACAGTGTTGGTCCATTTGTGACAGTGTTGGACCATGTGTGACGGTGTTGGTCCATGTGTGACAGTGTTGGACCATGTGTGACAGTGTTGGATCATGTGTGACAGTGTTCGACCTTGTATGACCGTGTTGGACCATGTGTGACAGTGTTGGTCCATGTTGTGACAGTGTTGGACCATGTGTGACAGTGTTAGACCATGTGTGACAGTGTTGGACCATGTGTGACAGTGTTGGTCCAAGTTGTGACAGTGTTGGACCATGTGTGACAGTGTTAGACCATGTGTGACAGTGTTGGACCATGTGTGACAGTGTTGGTCCAAGTTGTGACAGTGTTGGACCATGTGTGACAGTGTTAGGCCATGTGTGACAGTGTTGGTCCATGTGTGACAGTGTTGGACCATGTGTGATAGTGTTGGTCCATGTTGTGACAGTGTTGGACCATGTGTGACAGTGTTAGACCATGTGTGACAGTGTTGGGCCATGTGTGACAGTGTTGGTCCATGTTGTGACAGTATTGGACCATGTGTGACAGTGTTAGACCATGTGTGACAGTGTTAGACCATGTGTGACAGTGTTGGACCATGTGTGATAGTGTTGGTCCATGTTGTGACAGTGTTGGACCATGTGTGACAGTGTTAGACCATGTGTGACAGTGTTGGTCCATGTGTGACAGTGTTGGACCATGTGTGATAGTGTTGGTCCATGTTGTGACAGTATTGGACCATGTGTGACAGTGTTAGACCATGTGTGACAGTGTTGGACCATGTGTGACAGTGTTAGACCATGTGTGACAGTGTTAGACCATGTGTGACAGTGTTAGACCATGTGTGACAGTGTTGGACCATGTGTGACAGTGTTGGTCCATGTGTGACAGTGTTGGACCATGTGTGATGGTGATGGTCCATGTATGAGTGTTGGTCCATGTGTGACAGTGTTGGTCCATGTTGTCACAGTGTTGGTCCATTTGTGACAGTGTTGGACCATGTGTGATGGTGTTGGTCCATGTGTGACAGTGTTGGACCATGTGTGACAGTGTTGGTCCATGTGTGACGGTGTTGGTCCATGTGTGACAGTGTTGATCCATGTGTGACAGTGTTGGACCATGTGTGACAGTGTTGGATCATGTGTGACAGTGTTCGACCTTGTATGACCGTGTTGGACCATGTGTGACAGTGTTGGTCCATGTTGTGACAGTGTTGGACCATGTGTGACAGTGTTAGACCATGTGTGACAGTGTTGGACCATGTGTGACAGTGTTGGTCCAAGTTGTGACAGTGTTGGACCATGTGTGACAGTGTTAGACCATGTGTGACAGTGTTGGACCATGTGTGACAGTGTTGGTCCAAGTTGTGACAGTGTTGGACCATGTGTGACAGTGTTAGACCATGTGTGACAGTGTTGGTCCATGTGTGACAGTGTTGAACCATGTGTGATAGTGTTGGTCCATGTTGTGACAGTGTTGGACCATGTGTGACAGTGTTAGACCATGTGTGACAGTGTTGGGCCATGTGTGACAGTGTTGGTCCATGTTGTGACAGTACTGGACCATGTGTGACAGTGTTAGACCATGTGTGACAGTGTTAGACCATGTGTGACAGTGTTGGACCATGTGTGATAGTGTTGGTCCATGTTGTGACAGTGTTGGACCATGTGTGACAGTGTTAGACCATGTGTGACAGTGTTGGTCCATGTGTGACAGTGTTGGACCATGTGTGATAGTGTTGGTCCATGTTGTGACAGTATTGGACCAGGTGTGACAGTGTTAGACCATGTGTGACAGTGTTGGACCATGTGTGACAGTGTTAGACCATGTGTGACAGTGTTAGACCATGTGTGACAGTGTTAGAC